ATAAGTATTGTTTCATAGTAACTTATGATTCTATGTAGACAAATACCTTAAAAAAAACTTTAACAGCTTCCCAAAATCAAATTCAAAAAGGTGCTTTTACCTCTAGTTAACTCTGATATTTTCCAGAGGGCCCCTGGAACATGTCAGAAGAATTTTTTCTCATTAGAGAAAGTATTTAGCCAATTTAGCTTTTTTTTTTTCTCATTAGAGAAAGAATTAAGCCAGTTTGGCTTATCTGATATAAAATTATCTGCTTAATTACCTAGAAAGCACTGTCAAAGAGAATAATGCTAAACTTTGTTACTGAATGTTTTGTGTTAAAGAAATATCCAAATTTCCTTATGTCAGCTGTCTTACAGTAAGCTCTCATCAGATCTTTGACCATTGTCATTTGTAAGTCTTTTGTCATTTATAGTCACTGTTTTATTACTCCTAAACTAGTAAAGAACTAGATTTCACCAGAACAAGTATTAGTTACATAAGACGTAAATTAAAAAGGCAAAAGAGAGACCCCAGACTCCACTCCGTGACCTGGTAACCATGGCCTTTAAAGTCTTTAATACCCGTGATGAAGAACATGAGAGGAGGACAGTGTCCCGAACCCAAGCCTTTGCAGCGGCCCTGCGGCCAGCAGGACAGGGGTCTCATCATACCAAAGATCAGTCCGGAGCTCGTGAGCTTCTGGTGTGGCCAAGAAGGCCACTGGGCAAAGAAATACCCCAATCCAACCAACAAGCCGACTAAATCCTGCCCAGTTTGTGGTAAGAGAGGTCATTGGAAAGTAGAGTGCCCAGTTGGGGAAAGTCATCCCCCCACGACAGAGTCTCGTGGGAGGCAGGCCCCCCTGAGGGACTCCCCTCCAGACCTGCTGGGCCTACTCGAAGACTGAAGATGCCTAAACGCGAACACCCCTATCACCCTTGCCAAGCCCAGGGCCACGCTGTGGGTAGCAGGTAAGTCCGTCTCCTTTTTGGTGGACATGGAGGCTGCCTACTCTGTTTTCCCTTCCTTTTACGGGTGTTTACATCCTTCCCAGGTCTCGGTTGTGGGTGTCACGGGAACCCCCTCTAAGCCTCTAGGGACAGGTCCTGTAGCCTACACGTTTGAGAGCCATCTCCTTACCCACTCATTTCTAGTCATCCCATCCTGTCCCTTCCCTTTGTTAGGGAGAGATCTCCTCTCCAAGCGTGGTGCCTCTATCTCCCTGCCTCTTAGTCATCCCCAACTGAGCTCACTCATCATCTTAGCCAATATAAGTTGTAGCCCTGAGGCCTCCACAGACCCTCCTGTACCATCGACTGGCATTAACCCGATAGTCTGAGACACCTCTACTCCTGTAGTGTCGAGCCATCATGCTCCAGTCCTCATCTGCCTCAAAGACCCATGCTCCTCTCCTTCTAGACCCCAATTTCCTATTTCCCAAGCCCATCGCAAGAGCATCCTACCTATCATCAACTATCTTCTTTCCCAAATGCTTCTGGTACCAACTACTTCTCCCTGTAACACTCCAATCCTTCCAGTCAAGAAGCCATTGAGGGCCTACCAGCTTGTTCAAGACCTGCAGATAATCAATGAAGCTGTAGTCCCTCTTCACCCGGTCATCCCTAACCCTTATACTCTCTTATCTCAAGTCCCCCACCACCACCACCACCTCCCCTACCTACCTTCTCACTCCTAAGAAAGATACCCCCTTGTCCCGCCCAATGCTCATCTTTCCATTCTCTCACCCAGGCTGCCTGCTATGAACAAGCCTCAGTCTGTCTCATTGTCCGGACTGCAGTACTAGACGGGGCAAAACCTCGGTGATCATGCTAGATATATCTGTCCTGAGATTCGAAGACGACATATCTGCTAGAACTTCCAGCCACCGATAGAGAGGTCGGACAGTAGAAGTGCACACGACCATGTGGGTACATCAGTACTCGTGCCTTCCCTCCAAGCCGCCTCTGGCCTCCCACCAGCCTCAACGCTACCTGCGCTGCCCCTCCTCAGCCAGAAGTAGCCAGATTGAGTCAGCGCCCATTATAACCAAAAGGCTGGAATGTAAGGTTGGAGGCACTGGGGGGAGAGGTGAGCAGATCGGACACTGATGATGTGCCAAAGTCCCCGGCTGCTGCCCCCTCCCAACCCGAAAAATGTGCCTTGGGCTGGCCAATCCTCGCGCCGCTGTAAATCTAAGCTCCGCCTCCCCCTGCCTTCTTTAAAAACTCGCTGCCTGCCCTGCTGAGTGCGGCTTCTCCAGCCTGTCCCAGTGCAGACTGGTGAGCCTCGCCCGGGATTGCACTCAAATAAACCGCCTGTCCCTTTGTTGCCTCTCCTCACCTGCTTATTTTGGTTAAAATTTATCTTACAATATACCCAATGGAATACTATTCAGTCACAAGAAAGAAACAAATCCTACAAATTGCAACAACATGGATGGAGTTGGAGGGTATTATGCTCAGTGAAATAAGCCGGGCGGAGAAAGACAAGTACCAAATGATTTCCCTCCTTTGTGGAGTATAACAATGGAGCAAAACCGAAGGAACAGAACAGCAGCAGACTCACAGACTCCAAGAAGGGACTAGTGGTTACCAGGGGGGAGGGGTGGGGGAGGGCGGGTGGGGAGGGAGGGAGAAGGGGATTGAGGGGTGTCATGATTGGTGCACATGGTGTGGGGGGAGTCACAGGGAAGACAGTGCAGCTCAGGGAAGGCAAATAGTGACTCTGTGGCATCTCACTACACTGATGGGCAGTGACTGCAACGGGGTATGGGGGGGACATGATAACGGGTGAATGTAGTAACTGCATTGGTTTTTCATGTGAAACCTTCATAATAGTGTAGATCGATAATACTTTAATAAAAAGTGAAAATAAACGTGTCCTCTCCCGCTCCTTCCAGGTCTCTCTGAGGCGCGAGGGGCCCAGGGCTGGGGTGCTATGAGACTGAGAGCTCCAAGGTGACAGGTGTTTGTTCTCAAGGTGGTGGGGGGCAGCGCAAGCATTTAGAGGTCTGGGGCCTGGATTCACCAAGTCCACACACCCAGGCGTCCACCGGACTATCCTGCAGGTGAGAAATCCGGGTCACAGTGCTCCAAGCCCCCATCCTACTCCTTTCCTTTCAGCACACAATGGTTTGGCAGTTTTAAAGGCGCATACAGTGAGTTTTCCAGAAGAACAATCGGCAAGCACAAGGAGGGAGCAGCACTTTGCTCATTTCCCCCGACAGCACCGGGGGTTGAGTCCCCGTGTGTGGGGACCGCGCGGCGGCATCCGAGCTGTTCCGCAGGTCTGCGGGAGGGCGCGAGGGCTCCTTAATCCCCCCGCTGCTCGGGCGTGTGCGTCCAGACACCGTCTTCGCCTCATGTGAGGGCAGTGCGTCCCTCTGGTAGAGCCGCACGTGCAGGAAGGTTGTGTGCGAGGGGTCAGTGACAGGACGCGGCGGGAGCCCCAAAGGCTCGACTCCACATGGCCGCACTCCGCGAGGCCGCATGAGTCCGGTTAGGCGCCCGCCCGTCACACTACAGTTCCCAGGATACCCCGGGCGACTGGACTACACTCCCCAGGATGCTCCGCGGCCCATGCAGCCCGGGGGCGGGGCCGGGGGGCGTAGCGCCGGGGCTCCCGAGAGCGCGGGAAGTCCGGATCCCCGCGCGCCGCGGCCCAACACAATCCTGGAGCGCGAACTTCGCCGTGAGTCCCTAAGGCGCGCGTGGGGGCCGGAAGCGGGTCTGGCTCGCCCCGGCGGAGGGCTCAGCTTCCCGGCCCCATCCCTCTCTGCAGAGCTGGCCAAGGCTAAGGCCAAGGCCCAGAGGAGCGGGCACCTGCGGGAGGAGGCCGCCTCCTGCCACCAGCTCGGGGAGCTCCTGGCCAGCCATGGTACGTGCTCCGCCCCCGACTCAGGGTGGGGTCCCGGGGAGTGGGTGCGGGTAAGAGGACCTTGCTGAGCGCCCCGCCTGGCGGCCGCTGTCCGCTCGCCCTAGCGGCCGTAGCCGGCTGGACGGTCGCCCGGGCTGAAGCCTGCGGCGCCCGCTCGCCCAGGCCAGTACGCGGAGGCCCTGCGGGAGCATCAGCAGGAACTGCAGCTCCTGGAAAGCGCCGGCGACGCCCTCGGCCGCGCAGTGGCCCACCGCAAGGTCGGAGAGCGGCTGGCGGAGTTGCAGGACTACCCCGCTGCCCTGCAGGTGGGTGGAGATCCGGCCTGGGCCCACCCTTGCTACACCAGCCCTCCTAGACCCACGCCTCGTGGGGCTCTCTTTCTGAGGAGGGATGCTCAGTCTCCATTGCTCAGGCTTCTGGCTAGAGGAGATGGGGGGGTGCAAGGCCTGGCTTTGGCCTGCCCTGGGGGTTTGGGGGAACTCTCCTGGGCAAGGGTGGGGACCCCCTGAAGTTGGAGGAGCATGTGGCGTTTGCTTGAAGTGGGGATTGCTTCACTGGGGCCATTTCTCTGCACCCAGCACCAGCACTGCTACCTGGAGCTGGCCTGTTCTCTGTCCAACCACATCGAGGTGCAGAGGGCCTGGGCCACCATTGGCCGCACCCACCTGGACATCCATGATCACCAGCAGTCACAGGAGGCATTGCTGCAGGCACAGACCGCCTTTGAGAAGAGCTTGGCTATCGTGGACGAGAAGCTGCAGGGTGAGTGCCCTCAGGGGCCTGATACCCCACGGCTGCCTCCTGACCTGCCTGTGTGGTGGGTCCCACCTGCCTGGGCGCCCCCACTTTGTCAAGCTGACATATGTCCTTAGAAGTCCCCCCAAAGGGACCTGTGGCCCATGTCCTCTGCAGCCATGCCTTGTCATTGCTCTTCACTCCTGTATGCTTTGCAGCAGGATCCCTGGCACCCACAGTGAGAGGTGGAAGGGGGGATGGGAAAGAAGCTGGACAGCCTGAAGCTGGAGATCTCAGGTGGGGATGCGGCACCAAGCATCTGCTGGGGCATTTTCTAGGGACATTGGCCAAGCGAGAGCTGAGTGAGATGAGGGCACGGCTCTACCTAAACCTGGGCCTTACTTTTGAGAGTCTGCAGCAGGTGGACCTGTGCAATGACTACTTCAGGAAGAGCATCTTTCTCGCTGAGTAAGGCCTAGCTCCACCCCAGGAGGCACTTGCTTGGGGTGGGCAGCTCCCAAGGGCATTTTGAGAGGGTGCCCCCTGCCCCTGTCATTTCCCATTAGCAGAGGTGCTCTGTGCCACTGGCTGGGGGAGGCAAAGGCTGGCTTGTGGGGCTGGGACCCAGAGTAGCATTAGCAGCTGCCCACCAGCATGTTGGGTACATGTTTGTGCTGTCCTAGAGCAGGAGTGCTGCAGGTATACCGAGTGCCTGTCACCTCCTACAGGCAGAACCACCTCTATGAAGACCTGTTCCGTGCCCGTTACAACCTGGGTGCCATCCACTGGCGCCAAGGGCGGCACTCCCAGGCCATGCGCTGTCTGGAGGGGGCCCGGGAGTGCGCGCGCGTCCTAAGGAGGGACTGCATGGAGAGCGAGTGCTGCGTGCTCATCTCGCAGGTGTGCCCTCAGCTACCTGGGCTTGCCCCGGGGGCTCAGGCCTTAGGGTCTGCAAGCCTCACCTGCCCTTGCCCCCAGGTCCTCCAAGACCTGGGGGATTTCTTGGCTGCCAAAAGAGTCCTGAAGAAGGCCTACAGGCTGGGCTCCCAGAAGCCTTTGCAGAAGGTGGCAGTATGCCAGACCCTCAAGTATGGTGAGCCTGAAAAGGGACCTGAGGAGCTGTCCCTCCCTCTCGGGATGGAGTGGTCAGTGCATGGGGCCTGGAAGACTGACAAGTAGCATCCAGCCATGGTCCCCTCTTGCTGTGAGGCAGGCACTGCTTTGTTATGAGTTTGTCTGATTTTTGCCACAGCCCCACAGGGTACCACCCCCTTACTGGCAGGTGAGCCGAGGCCCAGGGAGGGTGGCTGGCCCTCCTGAGGACACTTGGCTCACAGGTGGTAGAGCCGGGTCAGAGTGCTGTCCTGTGCCACCCTTGCACAGTTCTCTTTCTGGCAGTGCTGGCGGTGGTCCGGCTGCAGCAGCAGCTGGAGGAGTCTGAAGGCGGTGACCCCCAGGGCGCCATGGGCATCTATGAACAGCTAGGGGACTTGTTCTCCAAGGCAGGCGACTTCCCCAAGGCAGCTGAGGCCTACCAGAAGCAGGTGCGTGTCCAGCTGGTGTGGGAGGAGAGAGGTGGTGCCACTCTGGACTGGCCTCACGGCTGCTGCCTCCCCAGCTGCATTTTGCAGAGCTGCTCAGCAGGCCAGGACCTGAGCTGGCTGTCATCCATGTATCCCTGGCTGCCACCTCGGGAGACATGAAGGACCACCGCCGAGCTGTGCACCACTATAAACAGGAGCTACGGCTGCGTGGCGGTGATGTCCTGGAGGTGAGCAGCAGGGACAGCTGGACTCCCTAGCATGCAGAGCTCTGTGCTTCCTGCACTGGGCCTGCCCCTCTGTGTTGCGTGAGCAGCAGGAGTGAGCTTCTGAGAGGCTGTGGTCCGCTCAGTGCAGCAGGCGGCAGCCGCTGAGTTCCTCTCCCCTCCTGCTCCAGGAGGCCAAGACTTGGTTGAATATCGCACTGTCCCGTGAGGAGGCTGGCGATGCCTACGAGCTGTTGGCGCCATGCTTCCAGAAGGCTCTCAGCTGTGCTCAGCAGGCTCAGCAGAGGCAGCTGCAGGTACAGGAGCCCATCCCCCACCCCCACCCGCTCTGGGATCCCCAAGCGCACCTCCCTGCAGCCTGCCTGCCCTCCCTGCTCCCCAAGGCCATTCCCGCTCAGGACTGCTGGTGCCCAGGCCTTCCCTGAGTCAGCGTCCCTGCTTCTCAGAGGCGGGTCCTTCAGCACCTCCATGCCGTCCAGCTGAGGCTGCAGCCCCAGGAGGCTCCTGACACGGAAGCCAAACTGCAGGAGCTGAGTGTGGCTGAGGCGGAAGAGGAGGAGGATGAGGAGGGCGAGGAGGGCACGGAGGGCGCCCCAGAGGCCAGTGAGGTGGAGCTCTCGGAGAGTGGTGAGGCCTGATGCTGCCTTGGCTGGCCCTGGAGTTTGCTCCCTGAAGCCTTCCCTGTGCTGGCCCAGGGCTCGGGCTGGGGCCCGGGCCCTCGTGGCCTTGGGGCAGGAAGAGGCAGCCCTGCACAGGAAGGGTCACCAGTGACGGTGAGGCAGACAGAGGGAGTTGCATGCAGGGAACACGAGGTGGTCCTGTAACCCTTCCTGGAGGGGCTGGTGACAGAAGCTGGCGATGTCTGCTATGGGGGTGGCATGGGGCCTGACCTGGGGAAATAGCATCCTAAAGTGGAGCAGTGGGCAGGCAGGGTGGGAGTGGAGGCGGGCATGTTGGCCTCCATGAACAGGCACTCGGCATCTCCTCCAGCCAGGGCAGGTTTTCCCGAGGCGGGCATGGCCAGCCTCATGGAAGGTGGAGTGGGAGAGGTTGGGTGGGTTTGTACTGCTGCCACCTTGGTAGCAGGGCCAGGGAGGCGGGTGGGCCTACGGAGTCAACGCATTCTGGCTGAGTGGTCTCCCTGAGGCCAGAAGGAACAGGTTCGATTTTGAACTTGGAGGGCCTCTAGAACTTCTAGGTGAGTGGCCAGGGGTTGTGGGAAGGCCCAGCTGTGCCCTAAAGCAGCGTCAGCCTGAGTATGGCTGGTGTGTGGGTGCAGGGAGCCACAGGGTAGGGGAGGCAGGAACATCAGGCGATGCCGTCCAACACAGCCAGAGTAAGAGGAGCCCATGAGGAAGAAGATTCTAGAAAAGGCCAGTGGTGTAGGAGGGAGCAGAGGGCAGCAGTGGAGGTGCAGAGGGGCTGGACATGGAGCAGGCAGGAGGTTGGGTGGGCGCGCATGTGTGCAGTATGAGTGCAGGATGAGAGGCCAGTGCTCAGTGGACGACAGGTGGTCAGAAAGGTCAGCACTGCATCCCCCGTGGGCAGAGACCCTGGGTGGGAGTGGATTAGGAGCCAGCACCGGGCCCTCCCTTTCCGAGCTGTTACGTCAGGGGAGCCTGGGGGCCAGGCAGGGAGCCTGGCTCACCTGGAACGGTGGGCTTGCCTCTGTTCCAGAGGAAGAGGCTGATGGCCGGTCCCAGCAGCTGGAGGAGGAGGAGCTGCGGGGCTGCTTGGGTCAGCAGAGGGTAAGTAAGGTGAGGACGGTGGGGCGGGCGTGTGTCTCCCTCTCGTGCCCCCCAGTGTTGCCTGGTCCCCTCACACCTCTGCTCCCTGTCCTGGGGTGATTGCCCACAGTGGAACCGGCGCAATGACGTTGGGGAGACCCTGCTGCACCGAGCCTGCATCGAGGGCCATCTGGGTCGCGTCCAGGATCTCGTGAGGCAGGTGGGCCTGCTGCCCTGTTCCTGCCAGCCTGCAGGCTATAGCAGGGGCTCTCTGATGGGTACACTGTCTGCCCCAGGGAGACATGGCAGGGCATGGGGGCTGGAGGGCACACCCGTGGCTGCTGGCCCCGCACAAGTCCCTGCAGGGGCCTTCTGGAAACGCTTCGCCCAGTGGTTGGACTTAGGCCAGGGTCAGGGGACAAACCCTCGGGGCCTGCTCTGGGTTCTGGGACTGAGGCCCTGGCCCTCCTCAAGCCTCAGAGCCTCGGGGCAAGCCCAGGCTCCTTCCATCCTTGGCTACAGGGCCACCCGCTGAGCCCCCGGGACTACTGTGGCTGGACTCCCCTGCACGAGGCCTGCAACTATGGGCATCTGGGTGAGCAAGGGCAGGGGGGCTGCTGGCACACACTGAGGGAAGGTCTGACGACAGCTCTGGGGGCTGATGCACATTCCTTGCCTGCAGACATTGTTCGCTTCCTGCTGGACAGGGGGGCTGTGGTTGACGATCCGGGCGGCCAGGGCTGTGAGGGCATAACCCCCCTGCATGATGCCCTCAACTGTGGCCACTTCGAGGTCGCTGAGCTGCTCCTTGAGCGGGGGGCATCTGTCGGCCTCCGAACCGCGAAGGTGAGTGAGGACGTGTACACAGTGGGTGTGGGCTGCTGTGGCGGGTGCTCCTGCCGGCCCTGCTCAGCTGGGTGCCACACAGGGCCACAGCCCGCTGGAGACACTGCAGCAGTGGGTGAGGCTGTACCGCAAGGATCTGGACAGCGAGACCCGTGAGAAGGCCAGCACCATGGCAGAGCTGCTCCGGGCAGCCTCCTCCGGCCAAGGCAAGCATGGGCCTCCTGCCTCCGGAGATGACATTGGCCTAGGGACGCCCAGGCCCTGGTTCCAAGGCCTTGGTGAGGCTGCTGGGGGTACCGGGCCCTGCCTCACAGTGGACCCTTTTTCCCCACAGCTCCCCACAGCTCCCTGGCTCTCCAGGGCCTCCCAAGTGGCCATCTGTTTGATGCTGAGACCTCTCCTCCTTTGAGTCCCTGCCCAGGAACCCCCGAGGTGTCCCAGGCCCCTGCCAGGGTCTCCCCGGGGCAAGCAGCACCAGCTGTGGCCAGGCCACGGAAGGGCAGGCACAAACTGCCCAGTAGCGGTTCAGAGGGCGGGGACAGCACGGGCACCCCACAGCCAACCCAGAAGAGGCCCCGGCGTTCTGCCCCACAAGCCAAGTCCTGGGCATTTGGCTCCACCAGTGACAGAGAGGCAGCCGCAGGGAGTGCAGACTGTACTGCCCACAGTGTGGGCAGTGCCCAGAGCTACTGCCTGGAGCCTGGTCCCCCTCAGGACCCAGTCGAGAGCCCCACTGCCCAGGCGGCACTCATTTCTGAGCAGAGCCTGACTGATGACTGGCTGGAGGACGACTCACCCGTGGTGCACAGCCACCCGCCCTGCCCCCAAGGCAGGGGCCACAGCACCAGGCACAGGGCCTTGGGGTCAAGCAGCAGCAGCACTGTCGGGCCTCAGGCCCGGGCCAGGCAGAGCCAGCTGCCCCATCTCAAGAGTTGGAGTGGTTTGGCCAGGGCAGGTGGAGACTTCAGGTCAGCCACAGAGCCCCCACGGAGCCCTGACATCCCCAGGCCCTTGGGGCCCAGCAGGGAGAGCCCTTCGGCAGGCCAGTCCTTGGTAGGTGTGTGCACCTGGAGCAGAGCCGGCTCCCTGGCTGGGTTTGCCGGGGGGGCAGTGAGGGTGGGAGGCTATTCTTCCTGACACAGCCTGTCCCCCCACCAGGGCCCAGCCCTGCCCCCTCCCATCCGGGTGCGAGTGCGGGTAGAGGATAATCTTTTCCTAGTCCCTGTCCCACACAGGTAAGCTTCCACCTGCCTTCCTGGCCCCAGCTCCCTCCTGTGAGGACCCCCTTGTTTGCACTTCAGGTGGTCCATGTGAGAAGGGCTCACTTGGGTTTTGTCTCATTCCTGCTGGCCAGAAGGCCTGGTAGCTGGGGCAAGGCTGCAGGCCAAGGCAAGGATGCCCTGCACACGGACAGGCAGGACTCCCAGAGTGGTCAGGTCAGGCCCTGTGGCCCCGAGCAACAACTCAGGAGCAGGAGATGTGCTGGGTGGCAGGGGGCTCGGCGTGTCCTGCGCAGAGGGAGGGGAAGAGAAGGAGCCAGATGAGGCAGCTGTGGAGCCGCAGCAAGGGCGGTGGGGCCCTGGAGGCCTTCCCTTGGCGTGCGTGGGGACTGGCCAGCCCTGGGCTCAGTGTGCCCTCTGTCCCCACAGCAAGGAGGCCCACTCTGTGGCGTGGTTGGCCAACCAGGCTGCCCAGCGCTACCACCAGGCCTGTGGACTGATGCCAAGGCTCACCCTGCGAAAGGAGGGGGCCCTGTTGGCCCCGCAGGACCCCATCCTTGATGTCCTGCGGAGCAACGAGGAGGTGAGCGGCCAGAGCTGCGGCCCTGAGCGCGGTGTGCTTCCTGGGGCTGCTCACCAGCGCTGCCTCCTAGGTGCTGGCTGAGGTGGCCTCGTGGGACCTGCCCCCGCTGACCGACCGCTACCGCAGGGCCTGCCAGAGCCTGGAGCAAGGTGAGGGTCTGGAGAGCCCACAGTGGCCTGGGCAGGGGAGCCGGGTGCACACGTCCCCTGCCCACGCCACTCCCAGGTCCCCAGGCCTCTCCCAGGACCCTGGGTATCAGCCAAGACCCAGTCCTGCCATACTTTCCTGGGGTTTTCCTCCCAGGGCGGTGGGTAGAAGATGGTTCCACGTGCAGGGGGCACAGCATAGAGCCAGCAGAGCCTCAGACGCTGGGCCCCGGGTAGGCAGTCTGCATGGCTGGGCTCTGCCAGGGAAGCTGGCCGTGGACTGTGAGATGGGTGGCTGGTGGGAGTTAGGGCCCTGCTGGGGAGGGCCTGATGCAGCAGAGATGGGTCAGCACTACCCACGAGCCGTGCACAGGGACTCACGTGGCGCTGGGTCTCCAGGCTGTGGGAGTGGGCTCCGCAGCACTCCAGTGAGTGAGGAGGGGTGGCCCGCTTTGCCCCTGGGATCACAGGGCAGAACAGGGAGGCCCCAGCCCTGGTGACGCCATATCCCTCCTTTAGCAGAGCACCAGCAGGTGCTGCGGGCCATGGAGCGCCAGGGCTTGGGCCCGTCGTTCAGCGCCTGCTCCCTGGCCCTGCGCCAGGCCCAGCTCAGCCCCCTGCTGCGGGCCCTCAAGTTGCATGCAGCGCTGCGGGAGCTGCGCCTTGCAGGGAACCGGCTGGGAGATGGATGTGTTACTGAGCTGCTGGCTGCCCTGGGCACCATGCCCAGCCTGGTCCTCCTTGACCTCTCCTCCAATCACCTGGGCCCTGAAGGCCTACAGCACCTTGCGGCAGGCCTCCTGGGTCAGGCTGCCCTGCAGGTAGAGACACGAGGAAGCAGCAGGGCAATGTCACAACCTTTGAATTCAGCCTGCCACTGGGTGGGGAGGTGCAGGGCAGAGCTCTGGGATGGGAAGGGGACAAGATCCTGGGGGGACCCGTTGTCTTCCACAGAACTTGGAAGTCCTGGACTTAAGCATGAACCCCCTTGGGGATGGCTGTGACCAGGCCCTGGCCTCCATCCTGCGGGCCTGCCCTGTGCTCAGCACTCTGCACCTCCAGGCCTGTGGCTTAGGCCGCAGCTTCCTGAGCCACCAGGTGACCCTGGGCAGCGCCTTCCAAGGTGAGCTGATGGGCATGTCTGTTCCCTGGCCCCAGGGTTCCAGTCGCCCTCAGAGTATGTGTCCAGGGGCTCAGCCTTGAGCAGGAGGGGTCCTGGGTGTCAGGCCTGGCTTCTGGGATGACGCAGGTGATGTGTGGGAGCTGGACCTGCCTGGGCTCAGAGGTGTCCCCACAGGGTACACCCCCGCCCAGCCACACTGTAGGCCAGAGACCTACCCCACTGTTTTCACTGGGTCTGAGTTCCATATGCCCAAGACAGTTCTGTCATAAGCCCGCCAGGGCTGCAGAGAGCCTGTGGTGTCAATAAGGGAACTGGGGGATCCTTTAGGGGGACTTTCTGCAGAGGTGGTGGCTAGGAAATGGGCCCAGGGCTCTAAGAGCAGCAGCAGGGGAGGGGTCTGGGGTTGGGACAGCTGAGTGCTCCCTAGCCCCCGCCACCAGGCAGGGCCATCCCAGCCCAGGGCCTGCCTCAGATGGCAGCAGGCAGAGGACCCAGGGAAACTGGGAGACCTAGGCAAGACCTACCTTGTCTTCCATGTGCACAAAATCTCAGGGATGATAGTTTTCCAGACAGCTTCCCCAGAGGAATCATGAGGGTTTGGGGCCCAGGACTCTAGCAGGGCTTGGGTGATGGCCGTGTGGGGCTAACAGAAGTTTTGGCCACTGGTGGCAGAAGCCAAGTGCCTGAAGACACTGTCCCTGTCTTACAACATCCTGGGTGCCACCACCTTAACCCGGGTCCTGCAGAGCCTGCCCACCCACAACCTCCTACACCTGGAACTCAGCTCTGTGGCAGCCAGCAAGAGTGACTCAGGCCTTGTGGAGCCTGTGGTCAGATACCTGACCAAGGTACGTGGGTACCATCCAAGCCAGAGGTCCTACTGCTGAAGCCTAGGGTGCACGCAGAGGGTGGGGAAGAGGGCCGCTGTAGAGCAAGCTTTCTATAGATCAGCCCGCCATGGACTGAATTCCTGGCCAGCATGAAAAGCACTTGGGACCCAGGATGCACCCCTTGTGTCCAGGCCTCCAGTGCCCTCTTGCGGCTCTTCCAGGCAGAGCCGGGGCCTTGCTGTGTGCTGAGTGTGGCTTCTGCCTGGAAGAGGCATTTCCTTCAGATTCTGGGGACACTCTTCCTTTCTAACCCCTTGGGGGTCAGCCAGTCTATGCCCCTTATTCCCAAGGGAGAAGGCTGTCTGGCCTGGGTGTGGGGCCACCTGTTAGAAGCAGAGAGAGCAGGTGCTTCACTCGTCCAGCCCCACTTGGGCCTCTGCTGTCTCTAGGAAGGCTGTGCTTTGGTGCACCTGAGCCTGTCTGCGAACCACTTGGGCGACGAGGCGGCAAGGGGCTTGAGCAGGTAACGCCCGCGTCTCCAGTCAGCAGGGCTCTCATCCCCAGGCCCGGGAGGCTGGGGACGCTGGCTCAGGCAAGGAAGGGCCCTGGAGGTGGTGCCAGCTCCTTCCCCAAGTGAGACCCAAAATGGGGCTCCCTCCAGCTTCTTCCCTGCCTTCCAACTTAGCAGTCCTCCGTATTTTCCTCCCCATGCCCCCTGGCTCTTGTGAGCTTTTCCCTCCAATGTGTCCCTTCCTCTCACCCTTTGTGGAGCCCACACTAGAGCCACTGCTCTCATGACTCTCAGCTGGCTCCTGAGGGGCACCCAAGCCAGGCAGGCATACCCAGGCCCGGCCACTGTGGTCCTGGCCCCTGCCAATACCTAGGCAGAGGTGTGGGTTTGTCTGATGCAGCTTTCCCTGGGCTGAGGGTCTCCCCTCCCTGGACACTGACCCCCTCCTCTTCTCCCCTCGTCTCAGATGCCTCTCTTTCTGCTCCTCTCTTGTCTCGCTGGATCTGTCTGCCAACCCCAAGATCAGCAGTGCCGGCCTGGAGGAGCTGCTGTCTGCCCTCCAGGCACGACCTCGAGGCCTCCGCTTCCTTGGCTTGTCAGGTGAGCGCCAGGTGTCATGGCCACAAATGTCATACCAGGGCTGGTGATACAGCTCTCTCCTTAGGGACCTGAGTCCCAGGTGCCTCTAAAGGGGTGTTGCTGCCACAAGTCGGACAGCAAGGGTGGGTTGAACCCCCATCTCCTGAAATGATGAGGCAGGAGCATGGGGTCTCTGCCTCTGGTCTGTTCCACCTACCCCTTGAAGGGAGACCACGGCAGGTGATCCTCTTCCACAGAGACTTAGTCATTGCCACGCGCAAGAGAGCTCAGGTCAGGATGGCAAACGCTGCCACTAGGGATCTTCCCACTTCCTGGCAGGGGCTGCTCTGACACTTCCCTGCCGGTGGCTTGACTTAACTTGTTCTTCTGGCTCCACCTAGGCACAGTACCCCACCAAAGCTGACTGTCCTCTGGGGAGGTGGCATTTGGTGACTGACCACCTAGCTGGGGTCTCTGGCAGGAGAGCATTAGGCTTTGCCTCCGTGAGGATAAGGGCTGGGCGTCGGCAGGCACATGGGAGTCCCCGGGTTCTTCCTGCTCCTCGTCCTCTGCCCCACGGGCTATGCTGGCTCCTCCAGGAAGACCTCCTGAAAGCAGACTAATGGGCTTCCTGGCATCTGCACCTTCACAAGCTCCCTCGAGTGCTGAGCCTACTGGGCACTCTCTGAGGAGCAAGCCTTTGACAGCCTAGTGTCCTGAGATTCACAGGCAGCTCGATTGTGTCCATTTTATGGATGGAGAGACCCAGATACCATCATAAACACTGTTCAGGGGCAGCATTTATTTTACTCAGCATCCCTCCTGCCCCACCACCACCAGGGAATGTTGCTCACCATCCCAGGCCGCCCCTTGGGGACAATATGTTCCTTCCTAGAGCGTCATTAGGCCTCTCCTGGGGTTTTGTTGTGCACCTTGCTGCAGCCCTTGGGGCCTCAGAGAAAGCGTGTTGTCCTGAGGGTCCCATTGGTGAAGAGAAAAACACAGGCTTGAGAGCCCCACGGGACCTCCTGAACAGCACTGGCTCCTCAGGGCTCCCCTGGCTCCGCTTGCTGAGAGCGGCTTCCTGAAGCCTGCTCTTGCCGCCCCTCTGCAGGCTGTGCTGTCCGGAGCCCCCTGGGCTTGGATCTATGGAGCAAGATCACCACGCAGCTGCAGGAGCTGCAGCTGTGCAACAGGCACCTCTCTGCCGAGGACCGCGACACCCTGCACCAGATGCTGGGCAGCCAGCCAGTCCCGGGCGCATGCACACTGGAGCGAGGTCCCAAGCTCTTCTTCAGGCGCCTGTGAGGGCGGCCCGCCCCTGCCCCCTGCCCCCTGCCCTCTGCCTGCCGCCCAAGCCCCTAATAAACAAAGCCGCTGCCGCCGCCTGACGCCAAAGGTTTGCTTTGCTGTAGGGAAACAGCCCGCTGGAATTGCAGGCAGATCTGGCCACTTAGAGGTGGGCGGTGTGAGAATGAAGCCTTTTCGTTCCGGGGTCCTCTACCCCCTCGCAAGCCGCACCCACGGCATTGCGTCCGCTCCCAGACCAGGGCCGCCGCGGCCGTGTTTGCATTAAACTCCCTGGTGAGCGGGCGGGGAGAGCGCGCGCAGGCGCGGACGTCACGCGGGGGAGGGCGCGCGCAGGCGCGGACGGCACGCGGGGCCGCCATCTCCGGGACCGACCGATCCCGCCCAGGTACTCCGGGCTGGGGGGCGGGCAGGAACTGGCCGGGTGGGAACAGGCGGCTCTGGCCTAGGCCCGCGGGTGTCGCCACGCTGCAGGAGCACTTCGTGCCCGGGCCCCTCACTCGCCCTGGGGTTCCGGAGCCGCCTTCCTGGCCCTGACGCCTCCGAGCGCGGCGGGAGCCCCAGGTGGCGCGGACCCCACTGCTCGCCCGGGCCGGCAGTGGCCTGACAGCGGCGTCCTCTAGAAACCGGCTTTCCGGCCCGATGCCGCCTTGTGAGGCCCAGCCGTGTCTCCGCCGGCAGCCAGGGCGCGTGCGTTTTCGTGGCTAAATGGGATTCCGCTGTAGGAGCGACTCCTTCCTCGTTTCCGCGCACTGGGGCTCGGCACGCCTCCGCCCCTCCGTGCCCCGCCCCAGGGCTCCTGCGACTCCTCCGTTCAGATGCAGCCCCTCCCTTGCGGAGATCGGCTGTCTAACCTGCCCTTTCGCGGCTCGTACCCCACCTCCCCTCCCCGAGCTGCACACGCTGGGCCGCTCCAGGCCGCAGCCCGGGCTGCGTTCGCTTCTGTCTCCGCCCCTGAAGCCCTTGTTTACACCGTCCCTCCCTGCGGTGGGTGTCCCTGCCCAGCGCTGCCGGCCTGAGCCCCGTCTGACCGCCAGCCGCCTCCGCGCCCCTCCTTGCACACCCAGGGAGCCTCTCACACCACCACATGGGAACCAGAGCGCGCGCCTGCCCTCCAAGCCTGCCCCCCGCTGTTCTGCTCCATCTCACGTCATGGTTCTTTGGCTGGTAAACAGGGCTGTCATTTTGATTCCTTGTTCATCTTCACTCCACTTCAAATCTTTTATTGGTTTGGTGGTTTCCACCTCCAAAGTGTGTCTTGAGCTGGGCCAGCCATTGCATCTGCTTCCTGACTGGGCAGGACCCTCCCAGGGGTTTCCTGCTTCCTCAGCCCCCTATCCAGCTGGGAGCCCCAAGAGCCTTCAGCCCTCGGACAGCTCTTGCTGCATTAGTACGTTAGTATAAACCCTGACTCTTCCTCCTGACCTTTCAATGTCGTATATGTGTCCCGCCTACCCTCCATCTTCATTCCCAAGGATGCCCCTCACTCGAAGCCCATTGACTATGTCCCAGGCTTGTCTGCTCCTCGAAATTTGTTCCTATATTCAGGCCTCATGTTATGTGTGCTATTCCTTTTACCCAAACGTTCCTCCCCAGGTGGAATGTGTGACAGCTGCCACCTGTTCTTCCTCCCGAGTGCCTGGCTCAGAGCGGCCCTGACAAACCGCCCCTTGCCGTGGGTCCGCTCTCCTCAGGTGCTTATCTGCACCTGCTTCCTCCTGACATCTTCCAGGGCAGGGCCGGTGTCCCCCTGCACTGCCCGCAGTGCCTTGTGTCCTTCATGCTGTTTCTCACCTGTCTCTGTGGAAGGTGAGGACGCTCTCCACGACCTCAGCACTCAGGAGTGTTGGAGGGCACCTCTGAGCCGACCCCGGCTCTGCTCCCCAGTCTCTGCTGCGACCAGAGCCCACAGGATGTTTCACGGGATCCCAGTCACTCCGGGCATGGGAGGTGAGTGCTGCCCAAGCTGGGCAGGGACCCAGAGGGCCCAGGCTCTCAGCCTCTCTGCAGAGGCTGATGGGAGTGGTGGCTGGACATTGGGGGCTGGGGGTCTGTAAGCGTCTGCTCCATAGGCCAGGGTCTGGTGTAGTCTATCATGGGACCCCAGAGACCTGCCCCAGGAGGGGCCAGCTGGACACAGACAGCTTTAGTGTGATCAGAACTTCAGGGGTCCTGGGCATCCCAGAGTCACCAAACCAAGGAAGGGTGATGAAGCACATAACAAATGTTTGCGCTGTAAGGAAGGTGTGGTCGCCCCGCTGCAACGAGGCAGCCAAGGAACAGCAGTGACATGGGGGACCAGGCCTGGCACAGAGCTCCGTGGCCCAAGCCATGCCCTCTGCTCAGCCCCTGACAAACTGATGGGGGGAGTCAAGATTGGAATCCCCATCCTCCAGTTTCCTCGGGGCTCTTTGGGATTTAACACAGGGGGACTCTGGAAGGGTGTTGGAATGAGGCTGTGCTCAGGATAGGTGGCCAGGCCCACTTGGGGCCATCCTTGCGGCCAGCCTGCCAGCTCTCTGCCTGCTCTGTTGCAGCCCCTGGGAACAAGCCGGAGCTGTATGAGGTGAGTGACAGACACTCCCTGGCCAGCACTGGCTAGCAGTAAATACCGGTGTGAGTGTCTCCAGGACCTGGTAGCCACCTGCTGCTTTTAGCTGACACACTGCGCCCCTCTCCAACAGGAAGTGAAGCTGTACAAGAATGCACGGGAACGGGAGAAGTAAGTCCAACCAGCAGGCTGCCCACCCCCAACACACATACCTGTGCCCACCCAACCCACCTCCCCTGAGCAGCCTCCTCCAACCCCCAGACCCACCCCCATTGAGGTCAGGAGTATGTGGGGTCAAGTTGGGGAAACGTTCCCCAGAAGCCTCCACCTGGAGTAGGGTAGGAGGCAGCCAGGTGAGGAGCTTTGCCTTAGCCACACCAGTAGGACTGGTGCCCTGGGCCCTGGGGCCTCTGCTTTCCCGCCTTTGGCGGCCGTGTCCTGATGGACGTGTTTTCCAGGTATGACAACATGGCAGAGCTGTTTGCAGTCGTGAAGACGATGCAGGCCCTGGAGAAGGCGTACATCAAGGACTGTGTCACGCCCAATGAGTGAGCTTGCTGTCCCTGTGCCCGAACTCCAAGACACCTGTCCTTGGAAGCTTGTTTCTTCCTTCCAGGACCTGGGTGCTTAGTAGGAAGCAAGAGCAGGTCTGAGGCCCAAGCTGGGCGGCCCATGTGGGCCTCTACCTCCCGCATCAGGCTGAGGATGCCCACCTGGCGCAAGGAGGGCACCCCTGGGTACTAGTGGCCTCGGTGCTGGCTCAACCAGGAAGTCCCAGCAGCGGTACTGAAATGTGCTGGGGTACACGCATGTCCGCCAACCTGGTCCTAGGTTATTATCTTCAGAAGGCAAGCAGGAAGGTTGGGTCTGTCTGTGAGACGCTGCTGACCAGGCCTGGCTGGCCCCCAGGAGGTACATGAGGCCTTTGTTCAGTGCAGCAGGCCTGCCGCATAGGACCGTGAACTGCTGGTGTGTAGGCACAGCTAATGTGTTCCAGGAGAGGGCAGGTGGGGCCAGGCAGGCCTCAGCCCAATATTGGACTTGGGGCCAGTCTGCATGGCCCAGGCCTGGCCACATGTGGTGGACATATTTTGGCCACCCCCCCACCCACACACACCCCCAACTCATTCTCGTCCAGAGTTCTTTCCTCACATACACCTGAAGGGAAACTTTGGCCCCTGAAGGTCCATCTTCGCCCTGTCGTCCAGCCCTCTATGGGTGCTGCCTGGTCTGGATGGGCCGAGGGAGGGGAGGGCATCAGCCTGGCCCTCTCCCTAGGTACACTGCAGCCTGCTCCCGCCTCCTGGTGCAGTACAAAGCCGCCTTCCGGCAGGTTCAGGGCTCAGAGATCAGCTCCATTGATGAATTCTGCCGCAAGTTCCGTGTGAGAGAGCTGGCCCCTGCACTCTGAGGGGGCGGGACGTGGGAGGTGTGGGTGCCGCTGCGGTGGGCCTGTCCGGCACAGGGCTGCCCTGTGAGGCCCGGTCCCTGCACCGTCCTGTTCTCAGCTGGACTGCCCATTGGCCATGGAGAGGATCAAGGAGGACCGGCCCATCACTATCAAGGATGACAAGGGCAACCTCAACCGCTGCATCGCCGACGTCGTCTCGGTGCGCCCCCATGGCCCCAGGGTCCTGGGGGGCGTCAGGGGAGCTAATGCCAACCACTGGCCACACGTGCAGAGCCCTGGGGTCTCCAGGGCTGTGCAGCACTGAGACTCGGGGTGGGGGACCCCTGTAGCTGGGAACAAGAGGGGTGAGCAGACCTTTCCCCCTTGGCTGCATCCAGGAAGCCCCCCAGGCTCCTCTCCAGCCTGAGACCCACATAGGCTATGCCTAGGAGGCCCAGTCAAAGCAGGGCCATGAACAACAGCAGCTCGCTGCCCCCGGGGGCTAAGCTGCAGGGAGAGGGCTTCAGGAGTGGATGAGGTCTGAGTGACTGCTGGACAGCGAAGTTGTAGAGTGGGGAGGCTGAGGACGAAGAGCGGGTTCCTGAGGCCAGAGGGGGCCTGGGCAGGGCTGACCTGAGCTCGGCCTCCCAGAGGAATCAGGCCTGTGGGTGGCAAGGCGGCTCCCACCCTCGGCCCCCTGGGTCTAGGTCGCCTCATGCACACATTCGCCCCCAGCTCTTCATCACGGTGATGGACAAGCTGCGCTTGGAGATCCGTGCCATGGATGAGGTGCATCTCCCAGGCAGGGCGGGAGGCTGAGCACAGGTGCCGGGAGGGCATGGGGGGGTGCAGGGGCAGGGGCCCCAGATCCCTCCCTGTGTCACTTCTGCAGATCCAGCCTGACCTGCGGGAGCTGATGGAGACCATGCACCGTATGAGCCACCTGCCCCCTGACTTTGAGGGCCGCCAAACGGTCAGCCAGTGGTGAGTGTGTCCCCGAAGGCCCGCAGCCCTGGCCCTTCTGGCCCCGGCTGCTGCTCCTCCCCTCGCGCCTGGCCCTGTGTCCCACAGGCTGCAGACGCTGAGCGGCATGTCTGCATCTGACGAGCTGGACGACTCCCAGGTGCGCCAGATGCTCTTTGACCTGGAGTCGGCCTACAATGCCTTCAACCGGTTCCTGCACGCCTGAGTCCCGTGGTCCCTGCCCAGGCTGGGCTTGGGGAGGAGCCTCCCACAGCAGCCCTCCTGCTTCCTCGGATGTTGGCCCCTGCACGGTCTGCATGTGTCTTGCTGTCCATAGCAGCCTGTCTGTGTGTCTGTCTATGGTGTCGTGACCCTGTAGTCCCCTCCCTCCCCACAATAAAGATGCTTTCTGACCTCCCTGCTCCTGTATTCTCCCCAGCACCAGCCCTGCATATCTGCATGCCTCTGGGCCTAAGTGCCAGTTTAGGGGCAGCAGCCTCTGGGGGCACTGCCTGTGTGAGCCTCCACCTGGGCCAGGTGTGGCTCAATCCTCACTGCAGAGGAGGCTCACACCTCCCCCACCTTTCATGGGATTCCTGGGCAGCTTGGGTGCCCAGCTGGCTGGGTGCAGGTGCCTCTGCTGCCCAGGCTCGGAGGTGTGACTGCAGCTCACCTGCATCTCGCTGCCCTGGAGGACACTGCAGGCCAGCACAGGGCTTCAGACCTTCGCATCAGGGCCCTGTCCTTGTACAGTGGCTCCCTGGAGCCCCAGTAGATAGATAACTCGAGGGTGGGCAGCAGGTTGTACTCCTGCCCAATGCCAAGGATGCCCCTTGACAGGGACCAAGGTGTAGCAGATGAACTCTACAGGGACCTCCTGGGCCAGCCTTACCCAAGGCCTCATAGCAACAGGCTGCAGGGGGGATGTGCTATGCAAATGCTGGCAGTGGTTCGTTTACCGGTATTTATGAGGCAGACTGCTGTTGGCACTGAAGATGGTGCTCTGTGGCCGTCACACGCACGTCCTCATGGGCAGGCATCAAACCCCAAGACCAGGGCTGCAGATCCCAGCATATTTCATATTTTAGCAACTGGCATTGGGATAAGGGACACTGCCAGAGTTTATTGTAGTTTTCTCTTAGTGGTGCTTCTCAATATCTATGGTGTCTAGAGGCAATGAAGTAAAGGGGTGCAGTATTTCAGATGGCAATGATGAGATTGGAGGCCACAAGGGGGGAGGTGCCTTTCACGTGGGTAGCCAAGGTCACGGTCTCCGCTGACACTGAACAGAAGGACCAAGAGGAGTAAATGAGCTCTGCTGAGGGGCGCAAGATCTCAAGGAGTCCCGGACGCCAGTGCGGGGCTTGGAACAGAGACATTCCCCCACTGTGTGTTCTACGAGGGAAAGACAGATACAGGGCACCTGGTGTGGGGGGCCAGGGCCAGCCAGGGGCTAAGCAGGGACCTTCAGGTCCGGGGTGTGGATCGTGCCGAGCGTTGTGCTGTGTGTTTGCTGCCGGGCTGGATGCAAGGAGTAAGAACTCCAGGACTACGCCCAGGCTTGGCTCCTGAGCAGCTGGACAGGCCTGGAAACCCCTGTTGAAATGTGGATGCCTGCAGGAGAGCGGTGCTCAGTGTGGGTGTGGCCAGAGCTGCTGCCCAGGACAGTGGACTTGTCTCTCAGTCCCGGAACTGTCCAGGAGAGGGCGGGACACCAGAGGCCGGAGTTCTAGAGGGAGTGTGCAGGAGGAAGGTTCCGTGACTCCAGGTAGAAAGGCTAAGCTGGGTGCCAGGAATTCCACCTGAGGTCCGAGGACTGGTGCTGCCACACTTGACGGCTGGAGACAGACCAGGAAAGGGGCCGAAGGAGGGGCTCCAGGCAGCGGAGGAGCTGTGCGGCTGGGCGGACCGGCATGAAGAGAGGCGCAGCCGGGTCTGGTCTGAGGGGCTCCCGGTGCCCCTGAGGGGCTGGTGGGAGGTGCGGCTGCAGGGAGGCTAGGGAGCGGCTGCTGTTGCAAGAGCCCACAAGTCCTGCCGCTAAGGGCAGTGAAATGGAAGAGAACCAGTGAGGGTTGTTGTAGCCTGTTTTTATTTTTTTTTATTGCAATAAAATGTATACAACCTAAAACTTGCCATTTGAAACATTTTGAAGTTCAGTGGTATCAAGTGCATATACAATGTGCATCCACACATCCATTTCCAGGCCTTTACCATCTCCTCAAACTGAACCTGTGCCCCCATCATACCCGACTCTCCACCCCTCCCCCAGCCCCTGGCACCCCATCCACTTTCTGTCTCCATGGATCTGACTCCTCTGGGGACCTCGCATGAATGGGATCAGACGCTATTTGCCCTTTAGAGTCCGGTTTATTTCACATAGCCTCCTGCCCTCAGGGTTGGTCCATGTGGTAGCACATCACAGAATTCCCTTCCTCTTTAAGCCTGAAGAATGTCCCATCATATGGATGGACCACATTTTATCCAATTGAGACAGGGACCCTGGGCTGAGACAGAGTAGGGTGAGGACCTCCGGAAGAAGCAAGGCAAGATATTTACAGTCAAAGAAAAGAATGTAACAATGTAAAGTCCCTATCGAAACTCTATGTTCAGCATTATGCAAAGTCAAGGTCACACTAATTCTCTAGGGTAAAGATACTAGACTAGGAATATAGACATTTTCAGTGAGATCAGTTAAAGGTTGAAAGGCCAGGAGCAACTTGGCCTGGAATGTTTGAGTGTTCTGCAGATAAAGGTGTCTCAGCATAACCTGTGACTTCACTGTAAACAACCCTAGCAAACAGACAACAACCCAGCCCACCTTGAGGGCAGGGCAGGTGGCACAAGTCCACACCCTAAGCGCTCAATTCCCAAAAATCCTCAACTGCCTATAAATCCCCTAGACAACGCACCATCCCGGGCTCTCTTGTCCCCTCCTGTCCTGAGCCAGGAGCTTTGTCCTCTCATTTTATTTCTAATTAAAGCCTCTCCCTGGCTCTCCTACCTTGACTGTTTGCTAAGTTCATTCTTCGACTCCGCAAATGAGAACTCTGGCATCACAGTCAACCAACTGATGGACACTCGGGCTGTTTCTGCCTTTTGGCTACTGTGAATAATGCTGTTGTGCACATGGGCCTTTTAGACATAAGCGATTACAATGCTCTTGTGGGATGACGGAATGGAGCAGGTAGGGCCCGGGGGTGCTGGAGAGGGAGGGGCCCTAGGCGAGGAGCAGGCAGATGTGGGAGGGCGCTGATGCTCTCTGGCTGCTCTGGGCTAGGAAGGGGATTGTCAGCTGGGAGAGGTAGGGGACAAGCACTAGAGGAATGTGGGCCACCGCTGAGGTACAAGGGACTGTCCAGGGGAGTGCCAGCCACACTGCCGGCCTTCAAGGGCTCAAGCAGGTCTGGGGACCTAGAAGGGCTGGGCTGGATGGCTGGGCTGAGGCCCTTGAGCAGCGGGTGGCCTGAGGGAGCAGGGGCCCCAGGCTCCAGCTCTAGCTAGCCCAGTGATCCTGGTGCAATTGTTGGGGGTTAGTTTGTTCCCCTCGGTCCTTGTCCCGCTGCAACAAAGATTTGAAGGGCAGAGATACAGTAGTGAAGTGGAGCCAAAGTTTTATTTGAATTCGCTCCAAGGGAGGAACCAGCCAGAGTCAAGGCAGACAAAGGCAAGTTTACCCGAATAAAGCAGACAGGAAGGAGGGGCTCACTGAGGGGAACCTGCAGGGTCAAAGCAGAGCTCGCAGGAGCCGCTCCCACTCACCTGAGGTGGGACCGAGAGAGCAAAGGCGTGGGCTTAAAGTCTGGAAAACAAAATGAAATGGCAAAGTGACAGGGACACGACTGGGAGAGCCGGAGACAAAACGCAGTAAGTTGAGCAGCAAAAAGTCTTTTAAAAATACAGCTCCAAGAAAGGGGAGTGAGGGGCAGCCTCGGAGAGGAGGCGCCCTGCAGGGCTGGGGATTCGGTCTTTCGAGGCTTTCAGGGATGGGATGAAGGGAAGGGGTTGGGGCACAGGCTGGTCAGGCCATCTCCTGATGTTGGTCTCCAGTGAGAGACAGCAGGCCGTCATCTGTCGTCGGTCCTCTAGGTGATTCTGCAGGATGAACTTCCTGTTCTCCAAGGCAGCGGCTGCCCCCGAGCCCCGGGAACCCATCAGTCAGGACCGCTTGCCCTGCCTCAAGGTAGGCTGCTGGCTGACTACCAAAGAGTATGCCAGGAATCTCACTTCCCAAGTCTCTTTTAAAATGGAATCTTAGCCTTAAGATAAGTCCCTCCTGTTCTTATTATGCTGTTCATATTTCGGCATTTTTAGGAAAATTGATCGTGATGCTTGTCCCGTGTCCCTGCCCCATCTCACCTGAGACAGCTGGAGCGGGTCTCAAGGTCAGCCCTGACTCAGAGAGAGCGAATGGACTCACCTTACAAAGGGCGTTCACTCCGAGTCCCTTATGGCTCTCTGGCTTTATCTGATTGACTCCGCGTTCTTGGTGGACCCCACCCTCTTTTCCTCCCACTCATATCTGTCTTTCTGCCCAACACAGTGGGGACAGAAAAAGGCCAGTTTGGGCTTATAGTCTTTGGAACTGTGTGAGAAGTGCCTGAAATCTCTCCAGTTTCCCTCTGCATTGACCCAGGGGCCAGGAATCACCTGAACCCCCAGCGGGTGCCTCCTGCCGCCGCCCCTCCCCGGGACTCTCAGGACACCGTGGTGCCATCCAGCATGTGTGTGGGTGGAGCAGGGGAGGAGCTTGACCTCAGGCCCAGGACACCGTCCTCAGCCTGATGCCCTGTCCCAGCTGGCTGCCACAGGCTCGGGGACAGAGGCCTCCGGACTAGACTCCCAGGAACTCTGGAGATATTCCTCCCCACTCCCTCGTCCTAACTACACCCAACAGGGCCCAACGTCAGGGGCCACTGAGCCAGATTTGTGGGGGGCACCCACCCAGACCCTCTTCAAGGCAAGACTCCCCTAAGGCCTGAAGCTCCGGGGCCTGCCTCTTCCTCCAGATTGCCAACCAGGCAGAGACAAGGTTAAGGTTCAAAGTCCAGAGAGGGAACTGGGGGGGGGTGCTGGTGTGAGGCTGGGGGTGCAAGGCTGGGAGCCACAGCCCTCCCCCACTGCCTTGGGCCTAGAGCTCAGGGTCCTGCCCCAGGGATCTTGCCTACAGAGCTGAAGACCCCCTTGCTAGGTAGGTGGGCAGGCAGAGGGCACAAGCTTCCATTTGTCCTTGGGGCTTTGGCCATTTCCTGGGGAATTTTCCCTGGAGGGTTTGGAGAGGAAGGACATGATTCCACTTGGATTCCAATGTGCCTCCAATTCAGAGACCACAGTCCAGGACCCAGGAGGAGAGGGCTCTGTACCTCCACCTCCAACTGGGACCTCCAAGGGGTGTGGGTGTGTGTGTGCACCGTGTGTGTGCGCGCGTGTGTGTGTCAGTGCACCTGTACCGAAGCTGCTTGAGCCAGGGAGGCCATGCAGGGAAGGGGTTGGGACGAGGGGGGCAGGGGTGTGTGCAGAGGTGGAAAGTCGGGGATGGGGCCCTTGTGGGACTGTGGGGACTTCTGTGCACCCCGCCTCAGGCTCCCTTGATTGAGGACAGCCCCTAGAGAGAGGGCTGCAGGTGCAACACCTCAGCCCTTGGGGAAGCAGATGGGGTGACCCTGCCCCACAGTTCTGGGGGCAGCAGGCAGGCTAGTGGATACCCAGGCCTCCCCATCCAGGGGAAGGGGCCCAGCCCTCGCCCCCCACAGGCAGCTGCTCCTTGTTGTGGGGAGGATCCGCTGCTGGAATGGTTAACCTGCGATGTCTCTGCAGCCAATCACAGAGCCCTGCAGGAAATACCTGGGAGAGATCCCTGTGCTGGCCCGCCAGGCGGGCCCCAGCCCAGCCCCAGTCCGGTCCCAGGCGGCCAGCGGCCTGCAGTCTCCTCTTGTGTGCACAGCCTCCCCGGGCCACCGAGCGCGTGGGGGTCTCAGCATGGCAATCCTGGGCCCACGTGAGCTCGGGCTGCTGCTGACCATGCTGGTGGTGACTGGGATCGGGGCCCAGCCTGCCCAGCTGCTGACCTTGCTGTCCTCAGGCCAGGGCGCTCTGGACCGTGAGGTGCTGCGCGGCCTGTTAAATACACTGGTGGCCCGTGTGCACTGTGCCGGCGGGCCGTGTGGAAAGGTAATGGCCCCACCCGGGTCCCTCAGCCCCAGCTGCTCCACCCCGAGGCCGGCAGCAAAGGGCCCTGGGCAAACTCCAGGAGGCGGGCCAAGGCCGGGTGGCCGAGCACCTTGGCCCTTCCCGCAGGCTGGTAGGCAGGCCCAGGCCCACCATCCTCTACGCCGTGTCCACCCTGGGCTCGAGGGGACACATAGCTCCAGGATTCCAGGGCTGCCTCCCTCTTTAGCCCCCCAGGCCATCAAACTGTCAGAGGTCCCAGGAAGAAACGATCCTGGGATGGGGGACACACTGCCCAGGACCCCTGTGCGTGTGCATATCTGTGATGGAGAGGGGGTGTGGCGAGTGGGTGTGTGAGAGCAGCTGGCAGGGGAGCAGCTCGGGGGGCGGGGAGGAGAGCAGCGATCGGTGTGGGGGGCCCTACAGGGAAGTGGATAGCTCCCCCACTGTGGGCACCTGGTCTCTGTACCTGTCTCTGCTCACAGTGCCTGTCTGTGGATGAGGCCCTGGCCCTGGGCAGGCCTGATAGGCCAGGAACACCCCTGGGGTCAGTCCTAGAGCCCAGGCACATTGCCCGCCTCAGTGCCGCTGCCGCCATCTACCTCAGCGACCCTGAAGGCACATGTGCAGACATCCGGGCTGGGCGCTGGGCCTCCCGTGCTGACCGCCTCCTGGCCCTGCTGGAAGGCCCTGAGGCCCTGACCCGAGGCCTGAGCAGGCTGATGCAGAGGATTCTGGCCCGGGCTGCTGGTCCACCCACTGCAAAAAAGGTGAGGGCTGGGGGCAGTGGGGGATGTGAGGATAGGGGAGACCAGTTAGGGGGTTAGGCAGGATGCAGAACAGAACATCCCGTAGAGCCTCCTCAGGACACCCCCAGGCCCCTGGGAACACACCTGGGAGGCTGGACTAGGCTGGGGGACCACAGATGGAAGCTCAACATCGAATGGGGTGGGGACTGGGGGTACCAGGAAGGCCCTTCGGCAGGGATGGGGCTGGAAATACTCCTGGGGCCCGAGGGAGGAGCCCAGGAAGGGAAGGGCTATGACCCCAGGGAGAGGCCCTCATGGTAGAGGGGCCAGCCCAGGTCTTAGGCAAGCTGGAAAAGGTGGGGGCTCTGAGGAGGCTGGTCTGGGGTCCTGTTGGGACAGATCCTTGGGTCAGTGGCATCTAGGGGGCACTAAGGGCAATGGCAGTGATGGAGGGCAAGAAGGCCACATTGCAGGTAAGGCTGAGGCCCAGCTCCTCCCCCAGGCCTGTGTGGACCTGCCTCAGCTGCTGGAGGAGGCAGCGAGGGCAGGGGCTCCCGGAAGAGCTGGCCCTGTGCTGGCTGCCCTGCTGGACCATGTGAGGAGCGGGTCGTGCTTCCGCGCCCTGCCGAGCCCCCAGTACTTTGTGGACTTTGTGTTCCAGCAGCACAGCAGTGAGACTCCCAACATCACGCTGGCTGGTGAGGCCTGGGCTAGGCCACAGGGTGGGGAGTGCCCTGGTGAGGGCAGGGCTGGGCCCACAGACACCTGCGATTCTGTCCTCTCTGCCAGAGCTGGAGGCCTTGATGCAGCACCTGGGGGTGGGTGGTGAGACCCATGGTGAACACGGTGACCACAGTGATGCGGGAAAGGGGGCCGACCACCAGGGCCCTGTGTTCCTCGCCACCCCTAACGGCAGCTCCAGCGTGTGGGACACAGTGAGCAGCCCATGCGCCATAGTCCTGGGAAGTGGTGGGGTCCCACAGGTCTGCTCAAGTTTCTGACCCGCCCCATCCTGTCACCACCCAGGTATGCCTGAGTGCCAGGGATGTGATGGCTATATATGGGCTGTCTGAGCAGGCTGGGGTGACCCAGGAGGCCTGGGCCCGACTGAGCCCTTCCCTGCTCCAGCAGCAACTGAGTGGGGCCTGCAGCCCCCGGCCCAGGTCCCCCACCCAGGACCAGCTCAGCCAAGCAGAGAGTGAGTGCCCGCCTCCCTGGAGTGCTGGCCTGGAAGTGCCCAGGGGCTCTGGGGTCATGGAGGTGGGGCCACACAAGGAGGAGGGGGTGACCACTGGGTTGGGGGAGGGGTGGGGAGAGCTGGGTTACGACAGGCATCAGAGTAGAAGGGTCACAGGGAAATGGGGGGCCTGGAAGGAAAGAGGATGTGGCTTCGAGGGTTGTTGTGACCAGAGGCCTGGCCCTGGGAAGCAGGAGCTGGGGCTGAAACTGAGAGGGAGGCTCTCACCCGCCACCCCACCCCGACAGAGTACCTGTATGGCTCGCTGGCCACACTGCTCATCTGTCTCTCTGCCATTTTTGGCCTCCTGCTTCTGACCTGCGCCAGCTGCAGTGCTGTCACCCACTATGTCCTCCAGGCCTTCCTGAGCTTGGCCGTGGGCGCGCTCACGGGTGATGCCCTCCTGCACTTGACACCCAAGGTCAGGCCCCAGCCCCCACTCTCCCTTCCCCACCAGGAACTCCCCCACCTGGTCCTTCCTCCAGGCCTGTGCTCCGGGGGCCCTTCCCCACCCCTTACCATCTCTGACCTTGAGGAGGCCCTAAGGCACCTGGTTCCGTGCCCTGTGCCCCCACAGGTGCTGGGTCTGCACATCCACAGCGGCGACAGCACTGGCTCACAGCCCACATGGCGCCTCATGGTCATGCTTGGAGGCCTTTACACCTTCTTCCTGTTTGAGACCCTCGTCAACCTCCTGCTGCCCCCGGACCCCGAGGTCAGGCATCTGGGAGCTGACGCAGTGGGTGGTTGGGGTGGAGGCCCAGTGGGCCTGAGTCGTTGTCCTTGCAGGACCCAAAGGACGGGCCTTGCAGCCGCGGCGGCCACAGTCACAGCAGCCACAGCCACGGCGTGTCCCTGCAGTTAGCTCCCAGTGAGCTCCTGACGCCCAAGCAGTCCCACGAGGGCTCGCGCGCAGACCTGGTGAGTCGGCCCCACCCCGACGTCCCCACCCCAGGCGAAGCCCCCCTCCCAGGACCCCTTCCTGTGCCTTCACTCCCGGTCCCCTCCAGGACTTCTGCCCCTTCTTCCACGTGAACCCCCCTCCAGGTAGCGGAGGAGAGTCCAGAGCTGCTGACCCCGGAGCCCCGGAGACGGAGCCCAGGTGAGCCCTCAGGGGGCCCAGGGAAGGGTCTGGGTCGGGCCGGGCTCGGAGGCGCGGGCGCAGGCCTATGCCGATCGTCGCCCGTCTTGCCTGCAGAGCTGAGGCTGCTGCCCTACACCATCACGCTGGGCGACGCCGTGCACAACTTCGCCGACGGGCTAGCTGTGGGCGCCGCCTTCACGGCCTCCTGGAAAACCGGGCTGGCCACCTCTCTGGCAGTGTTCTGCCACGAGGTGCCGCACGAGCTGGGTGAGCCGCGAGGGACGAGATCGGCCTGGGGGCGGGGCCTCCGGGGCGTGGTCGGCTGGGGGCGGGGCCCCGGGGGCGGAGTCTGTGCGGCAGGCAGGCTGGGGAGGAGCGGGTCCCTGCGGCCTGAACGCGCCCCGCCCGCCGCAGGGGACTTCGCGGCCCTGCTGCACGCCGGGCTGTCGGTGCGCCGGGCGCTGCAGCTGAACTTGGCCTCGGCGCTCACCGCCTTCGCCGGCCTCTACGTGGCGCTCGCAGTCGGCGTCGGCGAGGACAGCGAGGCCTGGATCCTGGCGGTAGCCACTGGCCTTTTCCTCTACGTGGCGCTCTGTGACTTGGTCAGGGCCGAGGCCGGGCGGGGGCTACCCAGACGGGAAGCTGAGCAGGGGCGCTGAGCTGGCCGCTGACCCAGCGCCCACCTCCTCCTCAGCTCCCGGCTATGCTGAACGTGAGGGATCGGAGGCCTTGGCTCCTCTTCCTGCTGCACAACGCGGGCCTGCTGGGCGGCTGGACCGTCCTGCTGCTGCTGGCGCTGTATGAGGACAGCATCGCCCTTTGACAGCCTCCGGGGCTTCTCGGACTCTTGACTGGCTCCTGGCTCAGCTCCCTCAGGTCTTCGGACCCACCAGCCACACCTGACCCTGCAGCCCGGAGCCCAGAGAGCACCAGGCCTTCGAGAGTCTCTCTCCTCCATGCCCCACCACCCCGCTTCAATAAAGACATTTTTTGTCTTCGGAGGTCTGCTTGCCTCGCTGGGAGGGAAGGTCTCCCGCCAAGAAAGGCCAATGAGTGGGAAAGCAGCTCTCTCCCCAGGTCTGGATAGTTGTGCTCAGGGACCTCCGTGCAGCCGGGTCCTACTCCCCTCCTCTAACGTGGAGGCCCTGCCTGGGGAGCAGAGTCAGAATTTGGCCAGGTTCTGTGGGCAGCGGATGGACCTGGCCTCCAATAAGGATCAAACTTGTTTACTTATAGCAGAAAAAACAAAACAACCAGCAATACTTACACAGACGAGGGCTTATTTCTCTCTCATGAAAAACAGGCTTGGAGTTAGGGCTGTCTAACTTCATGTCCATGTCGCTAACTCTAAAGTGTGTGGCCCTATTTGGCCAATGGGTTTCCACCCCAGACAAGTTCAGTATGGATTCAATGAGACCGAAAAAATGACAGTAGAACGTTCTTGGGGTGAAAGTGATACCGGGGTTCTTATTCACGGAGTCAAAGGATGAACTTTGCAAACACTCAAGGTAGGAGCACCAGAGATTTTTATTTAGAGATAAAGTGAGAGGACACAGCTCCCGGCTCACACCAGGAGGGGACAAGAGAGCCTGGGATGGTGCGTTGTCAAGGGGATTGATAGGCAGTTGAGAATTTTCAGGAATGGGTGTAAAGGGCTAGCGGTGCCGACTTGTTGAGTGGTCCCAGAATGCTCATTTTTGATGAGTAACAGAAGAAATTTGCTCCTCTGATTCCTGCTCAGGATAGCAGCTTCCCCCTGGGAGCACACCAATGAAGACTCCCTGTCCTGCCCCAAAGGTGGGCTGGGCTGTTGCCTGTTTGCTAAAGGGTGTGTAAGAATCTTACTTCTTGACTTCCTGGGGTGTTTATAGTTGGGCTTGCTTACCAAATCAATCTTTTACTCAGGTTGCAGATTACTTGATTAGGATTAGAGAAGGAAAAACAGCACATAGGTACAGTTAAAAATAAGTTGGTCAACACACATAAACAGAATCAGAAACGAGAAAGGAAAAATCACGATGGACCCCACAGAAATACAAAGAATTATTAGAGAATACTATGAAAACCTATATGCTAACAAGCTGGAAAACTTAGGAGAAATGGACAACTTCCTAGAAAAATACAACCTTCCAACACTGACCCAGAAAGAAACATAAAATCTAAACAGACCAATTA